TCTCTCACACACACACACACACACACACACATCCATCCACCCACATTTCCTCCCTCCCTCCATTTTCTCCCTCCATTTTGTACATTTAAATAAGCTTGATGAAGTCCTCGGTCTCTTGTACCTTTCTTCCCTCTTGTACCTTTCTTTGCTCCTTGATCCTCTCTATCCTCCTGCTTGTTTGCAGTCATTTCCGAAGGAAGCAGTCATTCAGAAGCCCCGGATTGATTGATTGATTGCCCAGGGCTAATCCCCAGCTGTAACCAATTAGGGAGGCTTATCTCCTTATCTACTGAAAGAATGGAGCATTTAGAAGTGCCCTGCTGCAACAAAGGAAGTAGGCTTACAATTTGAGCTTTGGCTGCAGAGGGTGGGGGTGGGTGGGAGGGAGGGTGGTAGCACTCTGCTCATTACCCCCAGAATTTTCACTTTTACCCAATTTGGGGTAATTTACCCCTGGGATAGAGGGACTGGACTAGTATTACCTAGCCCAATCATGTTTCAACAACCATCTCATAGACTGAAAGATACAATATATGGAACTTCTATATACATATATATTTATATAATATGCTATAATAATTTTTATCTTTTTTTACAGCAATATTAGTAAATATCTTTCATACATAGGTATAAAAATTCACATGAGAATGGCACAAGTAGAGTGCTCAGAGTTCCCAAAATCGTTCATGCTGGGGCAAGTAAGAGCAGGGATCCAACAGATAGCATTCCTGAAGACGGCAAACAGGTGATTTTGTAAGTGACTAGTCTATGAACTCTGTGCTACCTCTCTAGTGATTGCATACAAAGGCTGTCCAGAATACATGAATAGAAATTTGAGGACTATAAAATCAGATGAAATAGGTGAATACCGTCTCTAGTAGAGAGAAGATCAATTTGACTGAACCAGCAAAAAGCAGGAATCCACTGGTAAATACCTGGCTCCTGCCCCAGCAGAAGAGATAAAAAAAGAATGAAGCACAAAAGCAATGGTGGTTTCATACACAGAGGAGTTGTAACAGCTGTTTAAAGAAAGGAAAGGAACTTTCTGTACACAAACCTTACAGAATAACCAAAGGGAGGGGGGAGGTAATGCCTCTCATATAGACAAGAGCCCAAAATTCAGTGACAAAACTGCGTGCTTTACAATACTGACTCTACATAAGTGTCTCCCATCCACATAAGGAAACTGAGCATATGTGGGCATAAGGAGAAGGCGACCTGGCTTGTTACACCCATGTATGAATCTAGAAGCTAAGTAGGCAGTTAACATTACAGAAGTACCAACAGAAAGTTCAGGCTAATTAAAAGAACTATGAGAGACAATACCCCATCCCATCATGCTTGGGGTTCAGAAAAGTGGAGTCATGAAGAACATCTGGCCAATAATGAAAGATTGATGGGTATCACTCAACAAAAGGTGATAATCCAAAGTGGGATATGAATTTCTTGTAAAAACAACTGTTTTCTAGAACTGTAGCAATTTAGAACAGGGAAGCATGTGCATATTATGTGTTACAATTCTGATAAGACACTTTTATCCAAGATAGTGTCTGCCAGCAGGCACCTCTGATATGCTGATATCAACATAAATAATAATGATACTGTGTGTTGTAGTGCTCAACTGCATCTTCTGTGTAATAGCACTATACCCACTATACAGCCAAACTGGGCAAACACATGACAAACCATGCAATTTAAGTACCGATAATACAGTCCGAGTGCTCGCATAGCACTTTGAGCTGTGGTAGGATATTCAACATCTGAGTCTCATCAGTGTGGCCAATAATTGATGTCCAGGAGCCTGAAGAAATGCTAATGCTTTTTGTCTTTACTGCATTTATATTTTCAGTATCACTCCAGCCAGTGTCTAGTCTCCAACTTCTTCTAGAGGTATGAGAGATTGGTTGAACCATCTTGTATCAAACAAAAAGTTATATAACAAAGAGTATGCTCACACTTAATAGAGAACTGAAGCATCAGGATCAAGGAGAGAAAAATGGCCTATATCTAGAACAAATAGAACAAGTACCTGACTGGGGCAGGAAACTGCTCTAGAAGTTGCTGCGGCAGAAATCAGTTGGAGATTTATTTGTCCTGAAAACCATTAGTTGGCTTTGCTACTTTCAAAGAAAACTGCACCAGGGCTGTAATGTGGGAATTCTAGACAGAGCTTGCAATTATACATTTAAACATACTGGCCAAAACCTGTCAAACAAAATAGCACATATAAGGAGACAAATGATCATACAAGCAGTTACTCTTTTTATCTTGACATCCAATGTGTGACTCGGTGTATGACTGCTCTGGACGTGGAGAGTGACAGCCAGCCCAGCTGCAGAGAAAGGGTCACTTGTGTGATTAATTGTTCAGTGACGATGCAGAATCCCAAGAGGACAAATAAATAATTCCAGTTTGCTAGGGGTAAAGTGAGAATTCCCAGTTTGGTGTTGTGGATAAAGTGGTCTAGGCTCTGGAGAACAGGAGTGTATCCCCACTGGCTATGTAAACTCACTAGGGAGTGGAACTGGTAAAACAACTCTTTAAATATCTCACTTATCTTGAAAGTCCTATTAAGAACCTTATAACTAAGTCAGCTCTAACTTGACAGCACAGAACACACACACATGGTACAGCACAGGTATGTGTTGGCATCTCTGAAGATCTGGACTTTCAAGGTAGTTGACTAAATAATGGATCCTTTTAATGAGTCAATTTTGCTGCCAGTTGTAGATATGCATTTTGTGAGGAAACTAATTCTTTAGATTTGTTTGCCTCGGAGCAATACTTATGTGAGCTATTCTTGACAATAAGAAATGACGAAGAAAATATTAAAAATTTTAAAAAGATTTTAAAAAGGTAAGAGATTATATTTGTCTGTGATTATAAAATTGATAAACCCCCATGTATATGTTGATCTTGGTAGTCATTTGGGTTTTGAAACAGTTTGAACCATTTCAGACTAGTCCTGCAAGAAAGCATCCAATCTGCTTTCGTAAAACTTTAGAATGTTGTTTATTTGTCTGAAAGAGTTCCAGTCCATAGCCATACTCAGAACTTAGGGTTCTAACAATACTTTGCATCTTCTGGTATTAGAAACGGAATTATTTATGTATTTAGGCAATTTTAAAAGAAATGGTTGTAAGAACTGGCCACAATATACAGTACTTAATGAGGATGTCTCCTAGGTCCATGTCACACATCATAAGATCACAGGAGATTCTATTCCCTGGAAAAGTAAAAATGCCAGCCTACTTCATCTGAAATATTTAAAAAATGGCCTGGAAAAAGCATACTTTGAAAACTAAGTTCGGCGCTAAAAAGATTGTAATGTAGTGTAGTGAAGCATAAAGGGAACAAGTAAACTGAAATGTAATATTGATTTTGTTTCAGCTGGGAACAAGGCACAATCTGGACAGACTGCAAAAGTAGCTGCAGACTAATCAGATTTTGTATCAGGCTCAAGCCCTTAATAAAAAAGATGCTTTATTATTAGCATAGTAACTATGGAATACCTAATGACGTTTCAAAGAAGAAAGCAGGATGGTTGATACTGTCAAGCTGGGGATCTATCCAGATGATCAACAAAAAGGTTTTATTTTAGAGCCATTGATCTACTGCAGTGCCACATGTACAGTTGGGTCCAGAATTTGGTATCTCCAGTTACAAAGAATCTTGGATAGAAAACCTTTGTTTAGTATACTGGAGAGCCATGACCAAAGCAGACCCTATTAAGACTTTTATAGATCAAAAAAATGACCAAGACTAAAACAGCTTCACAGAGTCGCCCACATAAGACTTTATTGGTGGTGCCATATATGTGCAGTTTTAATCTAGCACATGTTACATAATATCCCAGTCTCAGCTAACAGGTAGAGGGATATCCAACCTTTTGTCTACTCCTTTCCCTCACCCCTTTTGGATGAAAAAACCTAAACAGCTGAGCCAATGAAATGGTGCCAACAGATGAAACAATGGAAGGAATGAAAGAAGGAATGTTTTTGTTTAGGAATGTTTTGTTTGTTTAGTTGATAGATCATACATATAGAGAGAGTTTTAATTGAATTGTGATGTACTGTCTAAAAACTAACTGAAAAGGAAAAAAGGATTCATAATGTGTTTAAAACCACATGAAAGCTATCGCCACAAATTCTGACTTTCACTGCATTCACACCCAAGTGCATTGCATACTATTCTTACAGTAGTTTCATGTCCCAACTCAGAAGTGTTCAATTTTACCATGACATTGTATGTTTAACAGGGAAATTCAGAAAAAAGAATGGAAATGCCCATCATATGTAGCTCAGCTAGCAAGGTCACAATCTTTTGAAAGAGCAGGAGACACTGGTTGGCCACATTCAAACAGTTTTAAAAAGAAACATAACAAAACAAGCAAAATACATGAAATGACAATAAAATGGTGCTCAGCTTGGGCATGGCACTGTAGTGCAATAGCTTGATCCATCATTCACAGTCTGACCACCATTGAGATAACAAAATAAGACCTTTGTCAAGCAAAGCTGCATCAATAACGTTGTCATCTTCGAGCTCTGCTTTCCAAGTCTAATGTAATCTCATCAGACCAGAAACTGCCTTCATTTAGTCTTGGTAGATTTTTGGAGACAGCATCAGCTGCATCCACAAATACAGTAGATAGATTTTATGCACACACATACACACCCCCACACCTTCTCCCAGACATTCCCACAACCCACAAGAATCAGGAAGATTCATTCAATTTATTTGTAAAGTGCTTTGAAGTTTAAAGCGCTCTCTAGGTGCTTAGTGTTAACACTGGTTGATGTCTGAATGCACAAGGATGTGTTCTTGCACAATGAATGGACTGCTTTGGTTGTGCCAGACCATCGAGCAGAAGGCGCCATTTGGTAAGCCTAACCAGCTGCAAGTCCCTGAAATCCCTGCACCTCCCCCAATTTCATCATAAAATCTGCACTTCATTATGTGCTTTCTTCAAAATTAATATCTGAAATTATCTGCAGTAACTCACATTTTCTAACTCTTCCTTTAGTGAAGAAGGATATTTTATCAACCTAGTTCTGGCTAACAGATTTAGAGCCACCAAAGATTTAGAGCCACCAAAGGGAATCAAAAACAAAATAAAATAAAACTTGCTTTTGTAGTTACCATAAAAACAGGCATCAGTTTTGAGCAAAACTTAAGACATTTCAAAATGATATTCAGAAGCTGGAAGTAATTCTTGCTCGCTATGAAGCTGTTGAAAACAGGAACTTGTAACAGCTGAGCTACTGAACCATATTGGTTAAATTCTAAAAAATAAAACTAACAATTGGAAAACTACAATTTTATAAATTAAAACATCTTGCTTTTCTAATGCATTATCATTTCAAGGTAGAAAAAAGAGTTAACTCTTATGCTGCCATGTTGATTGCCAGCATTTAAATTAATAGGCTTCAACTTGCTAAAACCCTGCATACCGTATGATCGTTTACATGAACACAATGCGAATGTACAGTTTCACATGTGTGTGTTTACAGTCCAGTTCCATGCATGTTTACACAGAAGCACAGGAAAGGAAACATACTTCTATGTGGAAATAAATGTTGAGATATGCAAGAAAACAAATTAATTCTATCAAGCTTCCTTGAGTAACAGAAATAAGGTCGCCATTCTCAGCAACTTCCTGTGAATAAGCCCTTCCCTGAATACAGTGGGACTTGGATCTGGGTCAACATGCATAGAATGGCAATATTAGTTCCTAAAAGGGGCAGAAACCTACCCCTTCTCCTGCAGATCTCCACAACATGCAGGCTCCAAGCCACACAGGCAGAACACTAGTTGTTTATTGGAGTTCACCAGATACCAAGCTTCCTCTATTCTGGCAGCCTGTTTAAGGAGCTGAGGCTGCAAAGCCAGAGAATTTATGAAGGAAGTACCTGATGAGCTGCAATGCATAGCTAGTAAGCTGTGTATATAAAACGGGGACTGCATGCTGAACAGGCATGTATTACTTTTTCCACATTAAAGGTGTGTGATGTATTTTAGTACAATATATGACTTGAGGGTCTCATTATGCTTACACTCCTACGTTCACCAGTAGAAAATCCCTGCAATTGTACACAGTACCACCATACTGTCATGACTACTGAAAATCTACTGATCAGCATCAGATTGCAGGATACATGGCAAAGCTGCAATTTCATGAGCTGATGCCCACACAGCTGGGTGGTGTGGATAAGCCCTTGACGTTCAGGTGGATAAAGAGATGCATTCACAGAGGATTAATCATGTCATCTATTCTTATTTTCTATTAAGAATTTGGAGTAATACGTCCTGCCTAGCCTACTGTTACTTTGTGCCCCCATTTTGAGAGAGGGATTTAAAGGGGCTGAGAGAACATTCTTCTCACTCAGACAAGGATTTCCCATTTCTTCAATAAATAACTCCCCAAACACTTAGTAGTTCTGTAAACATACATAAGACTTCAACGTGCAGTAAAAGTTCATCTTGTCTTGGAACTCAGGGACAGACCAGTACTGGTCTGCCATGATACAGCAGATAAATGCAATATGAATGGGGACAAACCAACTTCAGTCACAAGCAGTTGGAGAATAATGAAGGCATTAGCAAGCTTCTTGAATTGCAAGAGCTAGTTTAAACAAACCAATGCATGCAGGCAGAGCTGAAAATTATATCAAGAGAGCAAGATTGTAAGATTGCTCATAGTGTTTTGGAAGCTGTGCAATGCTGTGAGACTCAAGGAATCTTTCACCCCTCCAGTGGGTGAGGAAATGTGGGAATGACCTTCAATTCTCTGGTACATGTAGGTTCTTTCTTCTCAGAAGAAGTCTAGTTATCACTGAACACAGAGCTAATTAGGGGAGCAATATACACAGCCCCATCCCAATTCTCACTGTACCCAGTCAAAGTTGGGAGAAGACTGGCTGCATTCCTCCAGAACACAGCTATAATGGCTATTAAACAGGAGTGTGTCAAATCAGAAATAACAATAAATCAGATGACAAGGATGAATAGGTGCTTGGGTCAGATATGACATACTAGTGCAACAGGGCCCAAAGTCACAATTTCCTTGATTTGGCCATGATTATAGAAACATTATTTGGCCCCTCAGCTTCTGTAACTCTGGTGCTCTAGCCTGCGGGCAGTAACTTCCTAGTTCAGCAGGAAAGGCATACAACCTGCCCTCTTGTTGAACAAATATGCTGAGGTAGGGAAACCAACCATCTCTTTTCTATGAACAAGGCCCTCAAAAGCAGCAGGCTATATTAGGCAGTGATTTTCTCTCTAACTGAACAACATGACCAAAGGTATGGCATCCTTCATTCTAACATCCTTTGTGGTGCCATTACTATACCACTTATGAAGGAACACCACCTTCCCCTATCCATCTTTCCCAATTCTCACCCGCCCAGTGACCAACTCCTACAAGTGTTATCTTCTGATTCACTTTATAGAACTGGATATTTGGGGCCCCTCTTCCTATACTAGAGGGCCGAGATCACAAGTTCTTCTTGTTTGGCAGGGCTGGTCATATTTCCAGTGGGAGTGGAAGTCCGAATTTTGTCACTTGCCAGGCATTCCTGGCTACTCATGCCTGTAGGAGTGATGTCCATAAGCTCTCCAGAAGAACTCAGAGGGAAAGAAGGAGAAACTGATATGCCTGAGGAGGGATCTGTTGAGCCTGCAAATAACCTGGGGGGCTTTGGGACTAAGTTGGGCTCATACTGTGCTCTTAGCAGGATCTCCTGATCACTGACCGACGTGGGCATCTCAGCAAAATCACTGGTGCTGTCTGATACCATCATGCAGTAGATGTCCTGAAAGGAGCTGCTTTTGCTGTCCAAGTTAAAGAGGCTATCTATAAATTCAGCAAACTCCAACACTTGGGGGCTGGGGTCATCACTGAGTCTTCCATTCTGAAGGGTCAGTTCCTCATGAGGAGTGAAGGAAACATGGTCAGTGTCACTGCCAGCCCCTTCATCACTGTATTGCCGCTGAGGAGTAGTGACTGCACTGTTGTGCCCTGTCTCAGGAGCCTGAGTCTCCTGAGAGTGTTTGGAGAGGCTGTCAGCAGCAAGCAGCTCTGTCCGTGAGCTGAGGGAGGGGTTCTCCTCAGGGATTGCTGGATCAATATAAAAACAGTGAGTCTCATCTTTTTCCATGACTGCATGGAGACTGGGTGAGCCACGGATGCTACGGAAACCAGAGGAACGCCTTGAATCAAAGCTGTAGATGGATTCATTATCAGACAGGCTCTCCATTGTAGCAAGAGGAGCACGCCGGTCCTGCAGTTCTACAGAAAGGCGCTCCTTGGTATCTAGAAGCAGGATCTCCAAAGAATCCTTCTGCACGGGGGACAGAAGCTTGGTGTCATAAAATCCTTCCAAACTGATTTCAGATTGAGCCTTGCTCCTGCAAAATGAGAATACAAAAATATGAGATACACAGAAAGCTACACGACAATCTCCTGGAAAAAGCCACAGAAAAGCACACCACAGACATGGCTCCTTGGTCATAGTATCACAACACTCACCAACACAACAGCAGTTATCACACAGCAGGAAGGAATAAGGCCACCAGCGACCTTTGGCAGATCTTTCTAGAAAATCAGAGCCATATCCTTACTTAGTGCTGCTGTTCCTTCTGTCCACTGTTATGTCTCCAATTCCAATCTGCACAGAAGGTCTACTAGGCAGGGGCTGATTCTGGAAGATCAATTCTGGATTGAGGTCCACTTCGGTAGGACTCACCATCACTTTGGCTGCTGAAAGCAAAGCTGTTTTGCCCTTGTTGTAATTCTCCAAGACCTATGCAAAGTAAATGAGTAAATAAGACATGCTGAGTTACTATGCTAAACTCTTTAATTTTCTAACCTAAACCCTTTAACTTTCTTTAACTGAATATCAGGTAAGTGCCCACACAAAAAGTAAACAGCACAAGTACGCTATGAGCCATCAACAGTATTGATCTTAACATTGGTAAAACATTCAGCGAAGTGTGTAATAATGCAGAGGTTATGTTTTAAATATAGCTATTTATCATGTATGGCTTGCCAGAAGCCACACTGGCTGGTTCCTCTGAGATGCACTTGGGAATTGAATTCTCAACCCCTGGCTGCACCGCCAGATACCTAACCCACTGAGCTATCCAGCCTAACTATTCCAGATCAAGCCACCGCAAAATACTTCTGTTGCATTACAACAGAGATCTCTCACAACAGTGGTTGAAATCGTGTTGCTTAGCATAGTAAGTACAGTAAGTCACAACTAAAGTCAGCCCATTAAATCAGTGGTTTGGTGAGTCAACTCCTCTGTAAGTTCTACTGATTCAATGGATGGGCAGAAAGAAGAAGGTGGCAAATGACACTCTCATCCCTGGTTATGGCCATATTCCAGTGCTTGTACTCTAAGCTCTTGCCCCAGTATAAGACTAAATCTATGTTTGTACTCTAGAAAAAAAAATGATTTTCTCAATATACTTAATAGGGCTTGGATTTGTTTGTCAAATGACAGCTGTTCTCCTCTCCACTTCTGCAGTACAAACCACTGCAAATACTGTGGAGATACAGAGTATCTGATAAGCACAGAGGGGAGGGGAGTGTCTTGTGTTTCAAGAAAGAAAGTCGAAGGTCAAATATTGTACATCCACACAAAATTCTAAATGGGTATACATTGGATTTCTAGATAACAGTCTAGTTTTATGGAAAGGATATATTACCATTTGTTTGAATTTCAATATTATTTTGCAAATACAACTTTCCATGCAACATTCCTCTGGACTGCAGGAAGAACACACAGAGAAAGAAAAATGTGAATATGAACATGAAAATAAATATGCAGTCCCTTTGCTATCTTATGTCTCTCCCTTTTTTACATCTGCGAGCCATAGAATTTGCATTATCTTTTCCTGCACTCTTATTTGATGATCAAAATTATAAACATCAAGATACTCAACATGATTCTTTTTACCCTTCTTCTAACCTTCCCATTACCTGAAAGTTAGATACCTATTATTACCTTGTTGAGACCCTCCATTACCACATATGGAAGATGCTCATGCAGCATTGCTGGGGAAATGATCACTTCATTAAATGCTTTGTTGTCTCCCCAAATGGCAAAGTATGTGGGATCTTCCTGATCACAGCAGCTGGAAAAGATGTCACAAGAGCTAAGAGTCATTTAAAATCAAGAGGGATGGATGAAAGCTCGAGGAAAGATGCATAGGAACACATTGAAGGAATGATTAGGAAGAAAAAGTTCCACATCATCAAGCAAAACTCTAGTGCTCCTGAGCAAATCACATTTCAACTTTAGTTCCTATTCATTCATTCATATTCCACCTCCTTAAAAAGGAGCCAGGTAGAATAACTGAGGTACTAATTTACATGCATATCACAAATTAACTTTCAGTTTTAATTAACTGATGTCACAGTAATGCTAGTCCCAGCTACACATACTGAAATTACTGGGACTTGCTAGTCAACACTTACCTAAGGTCCATGGAATTCAGGTCTACTCTAGTTGTGTCTAACATGGAATTTAGCCCACAGTGTGGCATACACAGAGAGCAGCAGCAAACAGATTCAAGCAGGGATCTTCTACTATCCATCTCGTTCCTATTACAGACATTCCTCTAATAAATACTTTACAAAGAACCAACATTCCAGAGGGAACAAATCCATCAGTTTCTTTAGATACTATTATGACATTGGCCAGATTCCTGTTGGCGTACCTTTGTGCACAGTGTTGTCCCAGTGGTGATTGTCAGATATTAAAGGCTTCTTGCCCCATCCTGAGTCCCCCCAAAGCATTCACAGATTGAAAGGGATTATTATGGGACCCTCAGAACCTTTGGGGTGGGCAACAAATTGGAAACTTTTAATTAAAGATAAAATGTGTGCGGACTTGAGCCGACATAATTCCAACAATTATGTGCTAAGCAAGGCTATATTCCCAAGTTAGCTATGCCACTCAAAATACCTGGAGAATCTTCTAATGATCAGTTGCATTGCTAATTAAACAACCAAATCCTACAGACTTTTCTAGTTTGCAATATTAAATGATATCCTACACATTCATTCAGTAAACCAGGCATCCAGAAGTTCTACATGCATTAAGTTCTTTACTGATAAGATACTAATAAAAACTGTTTTCTCCGCAAACAATTTAACCAATCTTTCTAATAAAGCAGTGTAGAGTGAGCATTTGTTTGGGTAAAACCAAACTACAATTCCTAAGGAGAAACACATGTTCACCTGAGCCTCCCTGGCTTTTACGATCTGCAGGGAAAGCCTTCCTTCCTGGTGGTTATGAAATGCCCTCCCACAGAAGGTCAATCTGCCTCCTCACCCACTGTTCTTTGGCCATATTAGAAAGGTAGGAACCTTTCTAGTAGGGCAAGTTTTCAGCAGCTGAATTAGGCAGCTCAGAAAAGAACACTGATGTACAATTTACTGCTTTCTCATGTCTGCAAAGTGCTTTAAAACTCTTTTTTTAAAACAGCCTTTTAAATATTTGTATTTAAGATAATATTAGAAGGCATATCATATTTATATTAAAGATAATATTAGTATTATCTTTAATTGCTTCTTAATATTACAGTTTTCTATGATCAGAATCCTGTTGAGAAAAACTCCACATACAAAATTGTACAAGCAGTTTCCATCAATCATCTGTTGTGCATGATTTTGCAACTACTACTCAACCATAGGAAAACCACGTGTGCAACTGCCTTTCTGCTCCACATTTCCACAGTAGGATTCTGGCCTATGTGCTCAGTTATGTCTGTTTTAATAATTTTGTGATCTACCTTAAATCTCTACACTGCAAGTGGAAGTCAAATAACTAACAACTCAATCAAATAAGTAAATATGTGTAGCAGCAGTAAAAAACTTAGCAACATTACAAGTGAAGAAAGAACTTTTAAAACAATTTTCTTTAAGCAAGCCCATAAATAATGAGCTAATGGAAATTTGCTCAATATTATTTCCATCTTCACCTACCAACATTGCTCAGCAGGATGATTATGAACCACATGAATGATGCGACCAGGAGGATAGAGTGGTGTGCTGGCTGACAGGGCAATAGTTAAGTCACTGGGGTGGGTCCAGAGGCGGTTGCTGGGCACTGAGTTTGCTTCAGGCTCTTCAGGGAGCTCAGACTTAGGTATGCATTTGGTTGCACCCACAATAATTCTCCACTGTTCAAGGGAAGAAAAGGGGAAAAAAAGACTCTGAGGCTAAGTGCCATTATGCGAAAGGCAGAAATAATATCATGCTACACAGGAAAGAGATGAAGAATGTTCACGCTAGTATGTGCTGGGAGTTGTTTACATTGAATCTTTAAACAGTTGGGGTGACAGCCTTCAGAGGTCTAGTAGCCATCACTGGAGCCTAGAGGGGCGGCTTAGTCTTGCAATTTTCATCACCACATTTTCTTTCTTTTATGAATCATTTAATTTCTGCTAGACTCAGAACCTCACCTTTGGTTTGGTACTTCTCTGTAGAACATCAAGGAGCTGCCTGCGAAATCCTTCCAGTTGTGAAAGGCCAATCCTGAGTGACAGAGCAACAGATGCAACAATGCAGTGTTATGAATGTCATGAACAGAAATGCAAATAGATCATAATTGGAGAGTATTTACCCAGGACACAAGAATATATATCAACACTGATGGGAACTCATAACCCACTAAAAAATATAAGCAGATCCAAATGCGGATGATCGAACAAGAGTTCACAAGTAAGCTAATAATGGTCTAGATCAAATATTATACTAAAAATGCAGATGAACAGTATGGTCTATAGGGACATGAAGGATCACTGACAAAAAGGAAGAGGTAGGATATCATAATTTATGTCACTAAAAATATTTCAGAGATTTTAGATCCCCTATGAAAGGAAGGGAAAAACAGAAGTGATACAAAAGTGAAAAGCCCCACTCTTCTAATTATTTAATACACACAACCCAGAGATATGCCTAAATAACAAAAAAAGTATTTCAAGGGGCAAATGAAGTACCTAGGTGTTAATATTAACCTGTTACTATGTAGTCATGGACAAGTAGTGTCACTGTCCTCAACACCCTATGTGCTGAGGACAGCTTTAGCTGGGTAGTTTTAGCAGTGGTAGTTTATAAACTACTAAGAGAAATTGTGCCGTTGCACAGAGTCTACCTGTAAATTGCATTCTACAATGAAAGTTGCCCTCTGGCAATTTCCTAATTTTCTTACAGTATTTCTCATTCTTCTGAATACTCAAATGACATACTCCTACCTCAGACTGACTTTTGGGGCCCTCTAGTTTTTATGAATTAAAAATACTATGAGCTATGAACTAAAAATATTGCAATTTGTAACAGCTGTTTATTAGCTAGGATGAGATTGTAAAAAGATGAAAGACAATAAAATAAAATTTTAAAAAGCCAGGAACAATACACACAGGATGAGGTTATGTTAAATGAAGCAGCGCACAAGAAGGATGAGATAACAATAGAAACTAAAAAAACAACAACAATACACAGTACACAAATGTAAGATGGCACAGCTCACATAATAACAAAGATGCTAGACAGGAGTGAGGTGAGAACACTCATAGATCAAGATACAGTGGATAGATGGGAGATGACACAGAAGATATGGCCAGGAGACAATTCACAGGTGTAAGATGGCTCAGGAAGAGATGACCTGGGAGAGAGTACAAATGCATAAATGACAGTGCAAGTAACCAAGGAGATGGCACATATATGACAGATGCCCCAATGGACACAACTGTGGAACCAAAATATTAACGTTTTTCAGTAATACAGGCAACTGAGAGATAGGGGAAGGATATGCCAATAGGCTAAGATGTGATACATCATTGCATGTGTCCAGGTTAAAAAAAAATACAGCATTACACACAGTTAGCAAAAGAGGGACAAATAATAGCCACATGAAGATTGGTAAATGGGAAAACTAGACAAATGTGAATTTTAAAGACAAGAAAGCCATAATTTCAATATAAAACAAAATAAACACTGAGACAAAGAATCCCAGATTTCTTGACTTGCCTGGGGACTAGATCTTTGCCCAGCACCACTGCGGTCACAAACTCTTTGGAGTATTCCATGGCATCCTCACTGGAAGGAAAACAGAAGCAAGAAGAAATCGCTGCAATTTCATTAGGAGAAAGGAGCACTTATTATGCAACAAATTCTTTTGATTCAAAACATTCAGTTCACAGATGCCTAAAGTTTAAACAACATTTGTTACCAACTTTGGATTCTCAGATGTTCTTGGATTACACCTGTCAGAAATCCTGGGCAGCACAGGTAGAGGTGAAGGCTTCTGGGGGTCTTAGTCCAAGAACATTTGGGACCCAAGGCTGGGAACCACTGCTCTAAATCCATCCAATCCTCCTATTCTAAAGGTATTTATTTATTTATTTATTTATTTATTTATTTATTTATTTATTTATTTATTTATTTATTTATTTACTTACTTACTTACTTACTTACTTACTTACTTACTTACTTACTTACTTACTTACTTACTTACTTACCGGCCATCTGGTATATCATACCACCCCAAATGCAGAAACCTAAACATGATGCATTATCAATGTATCCTTCATCTATTTCATATGGCCAAAGTGCAGAATGCATTTGAAAATAGCAGAAAGGGAAGAAAATCTCATTCATTTCCAAGATGGAGGCATTATCAGATAATGAAGAAGACAAAAATGCCAGAATGCTTAACTGACAGTATATTGCATGCACTGAACAGTTAAATGAGGCAGGTCTCTGTTCAGCATTCCAAACTATGTGGCCATAATTCTGATCAATTCTGGTTTGCAGCTTGGGCGTCTGTCTGGACCCAGATCTCACCACAGAAACTCAGGTGATATCTGTGGTACAGGCAGCCCATTTCCATCTTCGGAAGATTGCCCTATCTAGATGCGGGGGCACTCACGACTTTGATTCATGCACTCGTAATCTCAAGAATAGACTACTGCAGTATTCTCTAGATGGGGCTACCCTTGAGGTTGCTGTGGAGACTACAACTAGTTCAGAATTCGGCGGCCAGATTAATAACTGAGGTGAAGAAATTTGAGCACATCTCACCCATTCTGGCCACCCTTCATTGACTACCAATTCATTTCCACATCAACTTCAAGGTTACAATAACATTCAAAGCCCTAAATGGTTTAGGAAGCTGGGCCTTCTCGGTGGTCCCCCCCCATAGAAATACGCCTGGCACCCTTGTTGGACAGGTTTAAACAATCACTGAAAACCTGGCTCTTCCGTTAGGCTTTCCCTGAGCATTAAGTTGCTGCTATCTCTGCTTCTCTTTTATCATCCTTTTTGCCATTCTGTCATCATCCTTTCTACCATCTTTATAGCCATCTGTTTTAATTTATCCTACTAGTTACTGTATCTGTTGAATGTTTGTATTATCTTATTTTTATTGTGTTTTAATATTATGTTGTTTGTCTTGTTATCTGCCCAGAGTGGCCTGGTTGCCAGATGGTGCGGGGTATCAATCAATCAATCAATCAATCAATCAATCAATCAATCAATCAATCAATCAATCGATCGATCGATCGATCAATCAAAGAAACAAACAAACAAACAAACAAACAAACACATGACATCCCAAGAAGTACAATTGGAAAGGAACCTCAAAAAGTTAATTCCTTTCAGGGTTAGTCTTGATAAATAATTCTCCTGTGATTTTTAGTCCAGATATACAATTCTTATCACCAATGGTATGTTGAACTTTGCCCTTTAGTCTGTTATCATGTTTTAGCAGAAACAACACTCTCTCTATGGGCGATAATTTCTCGACTGTGACTGAGGGAACTACTCTCTATTTCTACACTGAAAACTGATATTCCAGAAAAGCTAAGCATCCTGAGAATTTCAGGTATTGCCTTTTAACAGTCCTCCTCATTCATTTCTTTATCTGACAGTATCAGTCCGCTATTGAGATACTACAGACCCCTAGTTTAGAAATAAATGTATGACTGATTAAAAATCTTCCAGTAACAGATTTTCTTAGTATCCCAGCCTGAAAATGTAGCCTAACACAAAAATGATTAGGGCCTACCAGACCACACAATATTGACATTTGTCTCATAACTAAATCCCAAGAATGCAGTGTCTGTTTTCCTTCTAGCAGACATTTTGAGTTTCTCTGTAGGCATCTGACTTGTCACGTTTGAGCTCCTAAGAAGGATATGAAGAGGACAGCATATGCTGAGCAACTCTGAACCTAGCACTATAGAGGTCAGCATCTATTCATTTTATTAGAAGCAAACATATCTATGATGTATGGGCTGGTGAAAACATACCCCAAACTCCAATAATTAGGCAAATCTTACTGGGCTATCAGACAGCTCTGGGGAGGAAAGCAGAAGACACAAAACAGAACCCTAACATTCTTAATTAAAACACTTGGCTCATAGTTAATTAAAAAGTTCTTTCTTTGATTTTGGGTGTATGTGACCCAGCATAATGATCCAAAGTTACACCATTAAATTGGAATAGGATGGCACACCTGCTGTGCAGTCAGAGACATGCAACAGGATGCTGGCCACTGTCAGAAATAAAAAATAGTGTTGTAAGTTTGCTAATTTTAGTTTTATGATTAAGACAACAAGGAGAACTAACTCCCTTGAAGTTAATTCTACTTCCTGGGAAAAGACAAATACCTACCTTAAAAGGCCACCTGGGGGAGAGTAGGCATAGCACTTTAAAGTTGGGTACTGTGGACGGAGGAGAAAAGACAGGATGGCAGCTGTGCCTGCTCCTAAGGAATGTCCCACCACAATTAGGCCATAATGTTTTGTTCCTCTGCCCTACAAAACAAAAGCCAATTAGATATCTGTAGGATTTGCCAATTCCTCTCAAACCCTCTCCATTTTGGTTAAAATAAAACATAAATGATCTCTGCCTCACTTACGAAATACAGACATAAACATCTTCTGCATGTATTCGCGAAGGCTTCTACATGCATTGTCACTGACTAGCTAATACTAGAACTCCAAAAGCCATCATCCAATCACTACGGTCAATACTCTATAGGGATCAGGGCAGGGGTGACTTACAAAGCAAGTGGGGGGAGCATCACCCTCCCTAAATTTTGCAGGTGAGTACTATCTTCTCTAATCAAAAATCACTAGTGGACATAAACATGGATCCTGACCAAGCCTCTGTAAACTGTAAAGCTGCTTCTTCAAAATCAAAAGGCAGACTGTGCCAGCAAAAGGAGAAGAAGGAGTTTTTGCGGATTCTACCCTCTCCCTGCCCAAAGTATTCTAGAGGGCCTCCTGCTTTCTGCGACACATGAATAAGAGTACAAAGGACTTACAGGGGATAATCAGTACAAGTTGTCCCCCCCCCCCCCCCCGTTGGTGGGAATGTCCAGTGAGAAAAACTACAGACAAGTGACACTCCCACTGACAGGACAAAACAAAATAAAGGACATATCCCCGATTTCCTACTTTTATCTTTGAAGTAGACTTCTTATCTTCCCTAACAATAATTAGAATAAGGTTCCCTGCAGCTCAGGAATTATTTCTTGAAGAGAAGATGGGAAAAACAGAGAGGTAATGTTTGTATCTTGACTTCCTTACAGTCTATTAACAGTTCGTATAGGACACAATTACAATACAAAATGATCCTGGTCAATAACAGTTTACCACCTGTGGATTCTCTCACTATAATTCATTCCTCTCCTTTTGCTCCTACCTGTGACCCTTTGATCCTTAATTTAAAAAAAGACTGTATAGTATTTTTAAAGGACATACACAGAAATCTACTGTATCTCTATAACATCTGGTGCTGCACAACACCAGATGTTAAGAGTTGCAAAACAGGACATTCAGTTTGACTCTCCTCTTTGCCATAAACTCACTACATGGGCATGAGACAGGTCTTCTTCTCTGCTCCCCTCCCCAATTACAATATAAGGAATAATCCTGATAGGTCTTTCAGGACAGTTGGGACTGTGCTATGTGAAATTCTTTAAGCATCCTAAAGCCTCTGTTACAAAGAAATTACAAACTATAGAAAATCTTGAGGTCCTATGTTATTACAGCAATCTGGAGCTGCAGTCTACAGGATGGCATGACCAATTCAGAACACAGTCTTATGCAAAAGAAGGACAAAAGCTACATATGTTAGTTCCCTGCAAAGATGTAAATGGCAAAGTAAAGAAAGAATGGAGGGATCTTTGTACTTCCAGTCCAGATCACTTTTAACTGTTTCTACATTAGCCTGGTGTATAATTTCTGTAAGTAAATACAGTTCAGTATATGACTTTAAATAAATTTTTTAAAACATATGTTAGGTAGATGATATTTAAATGTGTATATTGGCATATCCAAAATCCCAAGTGTTGCACTGCAGTATTAACAGAAGTGTGAAATCCAGAGTAAAACTAAACTCTAATTAGCACATTAAGCTAAAAGGTGTTAATCCAAGGTTATTTCATACTGGAATTTGCAAGAATGGAATTCTCCAAGCATGCTGTCAAGTGGAAGAAATGTCTTTTCCTACAGAATCTGGAAAATAGGCAAAATATATAGTTGCTACAAAAGAATGGCAGATGTAATGGAACAGCATATATTACAATCTATTCCATAGAATATTTAAGAGGAAATAGAAACTAGTGCTAATGGACAGAGTGCTGTCCTCGGAAGATGCCGGCCACAGAGACTGGTGAAACGTTAGGAAGAACAACCTTCAGAACACGGCCAAAGAGCCCGAAAAACCCACGACCACCGCCAGAAACTAGTTTCTATTTTATTATAAGGTTGACATGAGCTATAAATGAGGAAAATAATTCTTAGCAGAATAGTAGCCCAGTTTCTTTTTTTAAGCCTCCTGAGAGTCCACCATCTTTTCTATTTCCCAACTTCATTACTTAATTTGGATCACTACTGCTTCCAGTAACTGTTGTTCAGGAAAAAACAATAGCAGATTGCTCAAGTGGTAGCCAAGAGCAACTACCACTGCTAGGAGCGGTAAGATACTGACAGTGGCTAGAATCCCATTTGACACTTACTGAGTAGAAAATCCCATCTACCCAGTAAAGTGGGATCAATTGCTTATACAAGCTTTATTCTTATGCAAGCAGAAGTCCCTGTTACAGCTAGATTATTTGTAAATGCACAGGAGGAGGTCTTGGGTACTTCCTTGTGTGAGCTCTATAAAAGTTAAACTATTTGCATTATGGTAATTGCACGAGCAATTTGACCAAACGAGATCCTGGCCTTGTTTCTGAGTAAGTAAGACAAAATATTCCAGAGTGAACAGGGTGGAAATATTTACTTACAGCCTCTCTGAGTTGCATAAGAGCAAAGACTCACCAAATCACGGCCAAAGGCCTGAGAGAGTACCATCTCCTGCTCTAGTTTCTTCTTGATGTATTCAGCAGACAACACCATCCCCTAGAAGGAAGGAGCAAGAAGGAAAAGGTGAATTTTAGCACAGCTGAGCAAGCTACATCAGTACACTGAAATATATGTATCACTGCAAGTGATTAAGGCCCTCCAAACTTTTCCGCCTCTACTGAAGACAAGCAGAAGATTCCGAAGTAGTGTGGAAGGAGGAGCTAGGTAGAGGACCAGCAATGGTCTGCACTTCCATAGTGCCAGCAAACTGCACTAGCTGTGGGTAGGTGAGAACAGTCTGGTGTGTCATCATATTTTGGAATTACCCCAGCATTACAAACAATGGAGGCACAATCAGATCCATGTTGGCAGTCAGAAGCCCAAATAGAGTCTCTTGGGGGAAGGTTTTTATCAATCCTTTATCAAACAATGCTCTTGTTTGGACCCACTACTTGTAGGAATACTGCTGGGAGCAGACCTTATAGATATAGAGGTTTCCATGGGGTGCATTGCAGTCTGCTGGCAGCACGGTGACTCCCACCAGCATCACTCTGCTCCACCTTGACCCATCTAGAAAGATTATTGAAGGAGATTTGGCTGTGCGGAAATACATTAGTGCAAAAGAAATTACACCAGTGAGTTCATTTTATTTCCATGGTGTCTATTATCACACACTGTATTTAGACTTGTTGAGTAACACATTCATCCCATGACTTCTCTACCACTAACGTTAAGACTAGGGGGAGGGGAAGGTAACGTTCCTAAATATTATTTACCTGGAAGTTTATAAATGAATGTGAAACATATATTCTGTAAATTCCACAAGTTAAAGAGAATGATGAAAATATCTAAATCCCTGCTATATATTCTAGAAACAGTTAAGTAGTGACAGAAGGGCTTGCCATAGGCCAAAGAGAAATGGTGGAGATGGCTACAAGCTGATACTAGAGTACAGTTACCAGATGGAATCAATTATCAAGGCACAGGAATGCACTGGCTGACATACTGCTGCCACATTCCAAAGGGGGTGGTGGTGGAGGAATCTCAGTGAGTATGTGTACAAATGCTTGTAACAGATGGCATTTAAAATGCTAGTTTGTAGTTGTTTGTACATAATCATTTCAAACAAACTTATTCACTCTAAAGCAGAGGTTGGCAGACTTGCTGAACGTACTTCGGCTTTTTTGGTGTTTTTTTTTTAAACCAGGAACTGTAAGATTGGGCCTGATGCAAAAGACATCCTTTTTGAATCAAAGAATTCCTGGTCCAACATTTATTTTGAAACAGCCCTTTCCTTCCAAAATGCCCTCCTGCTTGTCCTCTGCCCACAACTATTGTTCCATTTCATTCTGCTTCCCTCCCAACTCCTCCTCTTTCCCCTATCTCTTACAGTCTCATCCTCCTCACTCCTCCCACTCTTTTTGCCTTTATCTTCTGCCTCTTTTCAAATGGTGTCCTAAATAAAATAGTTTCCCTATGATCAGCCATTCCACTATTGTCAATCAACTGTTCAGCAGTCAAGTTCCCAGTGTTTGCAGATGGTGTTACCAGCAGGCATCACATTCACAGCCGTCTTGCCTTACCAAGCACCATGGCATGATGCAGAGCATTTGTCATGGCAGAATGACTCCTCACCCAAATTTATTCTATTTTTCCTACAGGGGACAAATCCTAATTCTCCTCCTTCCTGTATTCTGTATCAACCAATTTCAAAATAAAAAGTGTACGTCCATGCCCCTCACATTAATACTTTCTCCAATACCTCCACTGTGTTTTTTCCACTAGATGTTTAAATCCTGACTATTAGCAGGAGAGTTATTACTCATTCCCTATCTCTTATGTTGAAATTTTCCTTTATATAGCTAAACACAACTATTAGCAATTTTAGCTATACACCTAAATCAGTACTAATATTTGTCAATTCTATTAGTTTTCAGAATTTAAACGTTTATTCTTCCAGGATTCCCAAATACTATATACAAAAACTGTCTCATTTTCTCTTCCCACATATCCACTTGTATCACTATGTAACATATAATTTCACAGGAATAATTTACCACTTTTAAATGAATTTAAGGTGAATTTCCTCATGCTTCGATTAGTAATTATCATTATATCAATTCATACTACTGTACAAGCATAGTGTTTTGCAATCGTGTTTTGGAATTGTGTTGCCTGGCATAGAGATGTTGTGTCCAAATGATAAATGTATTTCTCAGTGCAACAGATGATATGAACACTGACTACTTAAAACTGCCAGTGGATTCAGTTCTGCATTAGTTCTGTTTCATTCCCTTGCAGCTATTTCTTTAACTTCTCATTTTAAAAATTTGGTCAACAATCTGAATCAATAGCAACTTTTAAACTTTTCCAGTAGCAACAAGTTGCAGTTGTTCTGTGCCTTTCCGGGAAGGATCACAAAATAGTTTGAAATAATTTACATTTCAAGAGAAATTGAAGGAAAGAAGGTTGAAACTACAGATCATCCAACTATCATCTAAAGCAGGGGTCATCAACCCCCAGTCCGCAGCACGGTGCCGGTCCATGAGCTTGCTGGAATTGGGCTGCAGATATGGATTTCCCCCCCCCCCCCCGCACATGTGGTGGGTGTGCCATGCTCACCATGCGAGCGTGACATGCCCCACCATGCACGGAGCTTGCTCCCCCCCACCGGTCCGTGGCCCCAAAAAGGTTGGGGACCACTGATCTAAAGAATATTATAAATACCTTGTGCCCAAGCCGAAACTACAGATCATCCAACTATCATCTAAAGCAGGGGTTGTCAACCCCCAGTCCGCAGCACGGTGCCGGTCCATGAACTTGTTGGAATTGGGCTGCAGATATGGATCTCCACCCCCCTGCACATGTGGTGGGTGTGCCATGCTCACCATGCGAGCGTGACACGCCCCACCATGCATACAGCTTGCTCCCCCCCACCGGTCCGCAGCCCCAAAAAGGTTGGGGACCACTGATCTAAAGAATATTATAAATACCTTGTGCCCAAGCCAGGTTCCATGATGACCTTCCACTGGGAGGCGCTCAGCATCCCCAGTCAGATCAGTCAGTGCATCCTGGAGGGGAGAAAAAATGTCTATTAAGATAGAAGGCTGAGTCAATGTTACAAATTTTGACGACGTGCAGATTTCTAGGAACAGAGCATAAAAAGGAACACATCATGAGTAAACTTAGTAGAACAAAATATTACCTTAGGAGACAAAGTTCCTCGAATACTGATCACTACTTTCTTCTTCTCATGATCTACAGCCACATAGAAGGGAGTTTCATATACCTGAAGGTAATACAGTGTCATGTTAAAATATTCAGTCTTACTTGAATCGAAAATCTTTCCCACTTCCAACATGAGAACAAGGAAGTCAATTTTCAAATCAGTCCACACAGGTGAGGAAGGGTGCAATCAGATGGTGCTTTATCTCACATTTTGGACTGCTTTGGTTTGCTCCATTTTCCAAACACAAACCTCATTTATGCTTATCTATATCTTTTTGGGTTTCTGGCAAGGGCACCTGGATTTTTAGCACAGCTAGGATTCTTCCATTTGATTTTGGTCTCCAGCATGTATGACGGTTGGTATTGAACTAAAGTGGTGGTGGTAGGTGTCTTCTCCAGCAATTCAGTCCTGTGTCACTTGGGCAGTGAACCAATGAAGTGATGTGTCACCAACAAAATCCCCAATTATTCCAGCTTTTCCTTGCTCCCCATAGAGAGAGTGACAGAAGAGGATGCAGAGGGTGACCTCCCCACATTTTTCTTTACAATCCAGCACTGTTTTACTTTGGCAGCAAACCAAAGAGAGGACTGCCACCAAAGTGAAAGGGACTTCTCAATGACTGCTCCCAGGCTTTAGAATGCTCTGCCCTGAAAAGCCAGAGTGGCTCCCTCCCTCTTGTCCTTTCATCTTCAGGCAAAGATCATACTTTTCAGGTAAGCTTTTAAGCAATAAATGTCTAGGGGATGCCCTATTTTTTGTAGTTTATATATGTTTTCAAACAATTTTTAACATTTTGATCAGCGTGTAATTGTTTTTTAATATATCATTTTTGTATGGCATTTTAAACTTATTATTGTGTAATTTTAATTGTTGTAAGTCACTTGGGCCCCTATGGGGAGAAAGGCAGCATATAAATAAAATAAAATAAAGCAATGAAGTGATATATCACTTACCAATATATCTAGCTTTTCTCCGCTCCCCATGGAGGGGGGGAAACAAGAGAGGATGTGGGGACATTGAGGCTCAGAGGGAGGAACAGGCAAAAGAGTGTCACTTTGAAATGCAGTGTAGCTTCCTGCCCTGAAACTACCAAATCCTTCTGTGTGGATGCAAGGATGCAAAGACTGCGCTTTCAAGTAACCCTGTTAATCCTGATCCAGCCTGCAGTGACTTCACTGTCTAGTTGCACCCTAAAACTCTTGAGTTAACTGTACTACATTCACTTATGGTTGAACCCAAACACCACTGATAGTAACTCCAGGTTTGTTGGAAAAACTTCAAATATTTCTACCAGATTTATCAGCTCAGCATACAGCTCTGAAATATCTCTGAGATGCTGTCCAGCACAGCTCCTACAATCCTGTGCTGGTCCAGCACAGGAGGGGCAACAGCTCAGGACCACAATCAGCAGCGTTCCTTCATGTGAAGGACAAAAGACACTCATTGAATGACCAAGATGTACTCATGTTGGACCGATAGGTGGTTTAAGAGAAGGGTCAGAGAGGCCATATATGTGCATATAGAAAATCCCTCACTCAGCTGGGGGGGGGGAAAGAGGCCTTAGATACAAACTCTCTCCTATTTATCATGCTGCCATTTCATCTCCCCAGAAAGATGAGGACCTCATAGCAGAAAGACCACTGTCAACGACAATGATCCATGACAACGGGTGTAGGACTGCAGAGGTGGGATTTTCACTCGCTCCCCTCATCTATTGTCCATCTAACGAGGCCATTCCGACCAGGGGGAAGTGAAAACAATGTAGAAGATCAATCAGGGGTCTCCTACCAACTCTCTTCAGATTGAAGAAGCTACTTGGATGAATTGCAAAACGCTTCAACGTAATAAGAAAGACCTCTAGTTGCCATGACTCAGTTTCCCCATAACCTCAGTTAGATGACTGAGAATCTTCATAGATATACTCCTAAAATCCTTACCGCATCATGACATGAAGTGTACACAATGTCCACAGACGTCATATTTTCATCAAGAAAATGGCGACGGATAGCGATAGCATTACAGCCACAACAATTATCTTCCTCAATAGTAACACCAGGGGCATAGCGGGGCCGAGTGGGGCAGAGGCAGCAGCATCTTTAAAAACAAATCCTTAAGTAAATACCAAGTGGAAGGGAAAAGATAAAAATGACCAAAAAGAAAGAATGAATAATAAAACAGCAAGAGAAAATTCTAACACATGGCGAACAGGACACATCATTCTAGTCTTGGAGTACTTTCACAGCTGTTAAGATGATAATGTCAATAATTATACCTTTGCTTACTTGCAGGGACATGATTTCCCTGCTATTGATATACTACCTCTGAACCAGTATTAAAAGCCCAATTCTATAAACCACGGTTCAGAATATCCCAAAGTTCTCATGGCTTTCTTTCTCTATTTCATGCTCAAATTCTATCCTTTTTTATTCTGCATATTCACAATTTGCTATTCACAAACTAGAATTTCCTCAAAATCATAATTTTAAGCTACAGTTTGAAGTAGGTTTGAACACAATTCTGGTTAGAGATAAGAGTTTTATAAAATATGACTATGATTATGCAGACCAAGAAATGGAGGTGGTAATCTGTGCATTGCAGACATGAGAGACTGAAACATACAAAGTAATCATTTCTGAACTACCATGATTTTACAGATATTTATTTTTTTAAAATCATGTCATTCTTCAGTACAGGCCAAAACAAATACAAAAAGGGGAAGATTTTGTGTAATATAAAGCTGACAATGGGTACGAGTAATGAGAGTCCTATAGTAGTGAAAACAATATCTCAGAACTGCAGAGCTGGGAGGGACCTATTGAACATCAAGTCTAGTCCCTGTCAAGGAGGCACAGTAGGGAATCGAACTCTCGCCTTTTGGCTCCGCAACCAGAGACCTAACCCACTGAGCTATCCATGCTGTCTCCAGAATCAGAGGCGATATGCTTTCAGAAACATCTTGGTGGGGAACTTGAGTGGAAGCCATTCATGGCCCACTTGTTGTCTTCCCAGTGGCAACCAGCTGGCACAGAGGGAACAAAACACTAGACTAGGTAGGTCTTCAGCAAGATCTAACTTGGCATTTCCAATGTACCTATCAGCAATCAGGTCTCCCAGTATCTTCCTCCTTCCTTTCCCCGCTATGAATTCTTTGCTTCAATGTAGGAGGTACCTAATACCGTTTGTCTTGCATGGCTAATAGCTCTGGATAGAGTGGAGGTTAAATGAGAGGAGTGGTAATGGAGAAAATCATAACCCTCTCAGAATACAGCACAGCAACTTCAATCAAAACAGAAATTCCTCCACCTACGTCTAGCAGTGAAAAGAATGACTGGATGTTTTATATTCAACATGCTTTAGACCAAGGAAAAAGATAGAAAACTGTTCATGATTGCATGAGGGAATCACAGAATAATCAAGGACTAACATGCCACTATCTGCTTTCCATTATTTGTATCCCTAAAGATGGGAGAGCTGGAACATTTGGTGGCTAGGGATAACATTGATATAGTGACCATAATGGAATCCTGTTGGAATCCAGAGAACCAGTGGGATACCACAATCCCAAGCTATAAACGCTATAGGAGGGATAGGGAGGGGTGTGTTGGAAGTGGGGTGGCCATCTATGTCAAAGAAGGGGTAGAACTGAGCAGAATGGAGATGGACGGTGGGTCTTAGTCCATCATAGAATCACTGTGGCTTAGAGCACAGTGAGCAATGTGATAGTGGGGGCGGGGGGGAGGTGCTCACGTCCTCCAGATCACAAACTTGAGGGGGATCTTGAAATGAGGAGACAAATCAGAGAGGTGTCCAGGAGGGACAGGATTGTAATCATGGGGGACTTCAATTATCCTCATATTGAATGGGTTAAGAAAGACAGATCGGGTTTCTTGACATGCTAAATGACTGTGCCCTGGAGCAACTTGTCACGGAGTCCACCAGAGGACAGGTGACTCTGGATTTAATATTGTGTAGTACCCATGACCTGGTCAGGGATGTGACTGTCACTGAGACTTTAGGGAATAGTGACCATGCATGCTTAAAAGGAAGGTACTTCAAACTGCCAGATGCAGGGGAGAGGTATCAGAAGACAGGTATATAACTGTCTTTTTCATTTGTCAAGAAGCATCTGGTGGGGCCACTGTGAGATACAGGAAGCTAGACTACATGGCCCTTGGCCTGATCCAGCAGGGCTCTTCTTATGTTCTTACTCCGCTACCACAAATACTAGGCAGAAAAGTGGATTTTTGGACCTCAGTACTTTTATATATTCTTTTTTAAAAAGTTAATTATTATTAATAAGTTACAATCCTCTAGTCACATAACAAAAAAGAAAAAAGTAATAATTACCTATTACACTTCCAATAATTTTCTTACCTATATTATACTAATACAGTGGTGCCCTGCTTAATGATTACCTTGTTGTATGATGAATCCGCTGTATGATGAGGTTTTTGCGATCGCAAAACAATGTTTAGATAGGGAAAATTCACTTTACGATAACTGATTCCCTAAATGACTTCCCTGCCCTACAGCTACCTAGTTTTAGCTGCCCACGTGGCAACAGACAGTAAGCGAGAGAGACTGGGGCCATTTGTCACAACAATGGGGGGGGGGATTCGCTGCCTCCGCAGTAA